GGACCATCTCCCTAGTACTAGTCGTCGTCGTAGTAGTAGTAGTAGTAGTAGTAGTAGTAGTAGGAGGAGGAGGAGGAGGAAGAGGAGTAGGAGTAGGAGTAGGAGTAGGAGTAGGAGTAGGAGTAGGAGTGGTGGTGGTGCTAGTGGTGCTAGTAGTAGTAGTAGTAGTAGTAGTAGTAGTAGTCGTAGTAGTCGTAGTAGTCGTAGTAGTCGTAGTAGTCGTAGTAGTCGTAGTAGTCGTAGTAGTAGTAGCAGCAGTACAAGCACAAGTACAAGTACAAGTACAAGTACAAGTACAAGTACAAGTACTAGGTGTAGTGCGGCAACTAGGCTAAATAGATGACCTTCACCTCGACCAGCTCAACTTTTGCGGCACCATCGCGGAACTTTCGCAAAGGCATATTCAGCTATGCAGTTGGCCTTTCACATAACCAACCCCCCATGCCCAAGGCGGGATAACCAATGTAGGACGTCCCACAAGGCAGGCTGTGGTGACATACATAGGTGGCAACCAGGCACAGGACGCACCCTGATCACAGGTGGGATGGGCAACGGGCAATAAAACAAATGTCGTTGTTTCATCGCTCAGGCTTTCACGTTCATGCTCAGCACAGCATCTGTGAAATGCAACTGAGTGCCCAGCTTTCCAACTCCACTACCAACCTTTGACGGATTCTACAGGCTCTGGCTTGAGCGAGTCCCTTGAACAGCCAAGAGTCTGGCACTTGCGTTGCATTGCCCCGTCACCACACGACCCAACAAAAACACAATTGCTGGCCTCTGGCTCTCAACTGGCTATATGAATTCTGAATTCCTATACCAAAAAAAAAATATATATATATATACATATATATTCTTGCTCGGATTCGGGAAGGACATCATCTGTGTCACTCAAGTTGTCACACTCGCAAACTTGGCTCCAGCCTACACATGCAGCCGCGTCGCGTAACCGAAATCGGCATCTGCCATCTCTCCGGGCCTCGAGGGATGGAGGCCATTCGGGCCATGAATTCAGCAATGCAAGTCCGACTCTGGGACTCGTGCCCGTTGACTATGCACCCCATGACGGCAATTCGGACACCTTGTCAGGCATGTCAGACATGCTTCCCAGAAACTCCCCGTGTCTCGACATGTCTGGACGACTCTGCAACTCAGAATCTGCCTGGTAGATGCCCGGTTCGTGATTGAATCTTCGCCGTGGTTTCCTGCCTGAACACAGAGAAGCCACAGCTCCGGGACTGGACCGGCTGCTGGGCACCAAGCAGATCAAAAAGAGTTCGACCACAGGACGGACAGCTGATGAACTCCGTCTTGGAGATACGCATTCGCGAAGCCTGTGGCAAGTGTGCGACGCATGCACTGCAGGCCGAAGTCCTATCGCATGGTCAATCCGAAGTCCCAAGACTGTCGAGTGCCTGGAGAAGGTTAAACGAGGATTCGCGCAGCTCATCAGACGAGAGATCCTGTCACTGCAGTGTATTGCTCTGAGCTTTCCAGTGAGGTGCTCGTAAGGCTGCGGCTTCTGCATCCCAGAGCAAGCCTTCACCCATTCCATCCTTAAAGCGACAGACGAGCGCGAGCTCACGGAATCAGAGTTTTGAACCATGAAAATCACCCCGCTGGCAGGACAAGCATCTACGAAGAGACTGCCGAAGTCTGCCGATGCCTCCACGACCTCGCGAGAGGCACTTCTCAATGTCGGGTCTCACTACCACATGCAACACATTACATCAAGGTCAAGGCAACATCATCTTGGTCTTTGTTGTCTTCCTGTTAGAGGGTGTTCAATTGCGTTCAGCTCCCCTTTGCACGGTCAGGGCCATGGGGGACTCTGGTGTAGCTCACATCCACGGGACACTCCTTGGCATAGTGGAACCAAAGCATGGTGGGAACCTGGGAAAAGAAGGCTTGCAATCCCACGAGCCCTTCCCCGCAAACTGTTGTAGAGACACGGGCGGACTTGCCGACCTCCAGCTGCCCCAGCTGCGCAAAGAATCTGACAGTCTTTCAATGCAAGAATCTGCAAGAAGAAATAGACGCCAAAAAAAAATCGATACAGTGCAGACCACCTTCTGGCAAGGAAAGTCCTGCAACAAAGCCGGCTTATGCTTTGGGTGGATGCATGCAGCATGCGAGAATGAAATTCTGTGGGAGTGTGACCGGCTTATCCTGCCATCCCGGTTCGCAGGTTTCAGCAGAATGAATCGTGGCCTTTGCTTTGCACTCTTATTAGTTGACGCAACAGTAATCCAGCAATTCAGTGCACATCTCTGTCGCCATGCTGGGATGCCAACGATGCTTTTTCAAGCACGTCCTGCATCTCATCCTGCCCCAGTGGTTGAAGAGATGGGAAAGTGCCGGAACCCCAGGAACTGCAAGCTGTGGTGGAGAAGACAGCAACCAGGACCAGCTAACAGCTCACCAGCCTCGGACGTGATACTAAAGGCTCATCGGCTCATCAACCCTTAAACCCTATGCCTAGAACCTCGTATAACTTTGCCAACGGGCTGCGCATTTTCCAGAAAGAATCCACTATCCTTCACTGCATGGCCTCTGGCCCCTATACACATCGTCGGCCAAGTCTGCAAAGCCAAATGACATAAGTGCTCCATTTGGGCAATATTATTGGTTTGACACACCGCAACTCCTGTTGGGACCTGCAAGATAACAAAAAGACCTATTGCTCCTTTCTTGCTTCCCGGCCCCGCAGGCGTTGTTGCCGCTAGCACGGTTTGGTCGAGCATGGCGATTGGCTTGCGGACGCCATGACATTTCGACAAAGGCCTACTAAACTCTGCACATCTGCCAGTCTAGGGCTTTCCAGACGGACCAGCAGTTCATGGGACTGCTTGCCATGACATCATGTCTTGGGATTCGGGGCTGGCCGTTGTCGGGCTGCTGTGGCCATTGATCAGACTCATTCTTCTTAGCCCTGCCATGCTCGGGAGTGGAGCACTGCCCGAAGCGCTGCCAGAGTTGGCAATTAGATGCAGCAGTAGATTTCAGCCGGCAGGGAGTTCCTGAGACTCCTCGCCGGTAAACACGACTGCATAGCCGCCCAGTCTTTCTGGCCTCAGCTGCATCCCTTCCTAGTCCCGCACAGCATCTCAGGCAGCATCGTCAGATACAGTCGGCAAGCGGATGCGAACTCACTAGGCGCTTGAAACTTGGGCACCAGCAGCTTGTCGCCTGCAAGCAAAGGTGCAGTGGTGTCTCAGCAGAAACGATTTCTTCACGACAAGCATATTTCGTGCCTGCAGCTACTGCGTCCGCACTCATGAGCACGGTTGCCTTTTGCCACGATCTCTTGGGACGCGTCACTTAGGTGCTGTGATTTACAAACAGACACCACGGATATCTCCCAACGCACATCGCCGGTTGTATCAAGATCTGGTTGAGGCTTCTGCACCCTCAGGAACATTGGGGCCCGCTTTGCAAAGAACGCCTTCCATCAGACGGAGCCATGGCAGTGGACACATAGTGGAGTTGCGGCAAGACATCCGGCCTGTAGGCACGTCCAGCAAGGTTTTGAGCTTCACACCCGCGCCAGGGGGCAGCATACCTTCAATTACCTCAGCAACGATGCTGACATTGTGGTGTCCATGGTCCATGATCTGGTTACATGTCAGATGGGAACTCAAGGCGAGAACCACAGCATCCACGCTCTTCCAATCCTTTTGCACATCGCCATCAGCACGAAGTCTTGGCAGCGGCATGTGCAACTTCCAAAGCGCCAAAGGGTTGAAGCTTACCTCTTGAGGGTGCAACCGCAGCCCGAGCCGATCGCAAAGTCCAGCAGTATCCAGGCTGGTAAGTTCTTTCACCTTGGCACAAGCCATGTTTCCCCCGAGCCTGGAATGTTCACTCTGTTGAGCTCTTCTGCTGCGACGGGCAGCGGACTGACATGCGTGCAAGCACGGATCCGTCTTGGTTGAGCGGAACATCAATCGGATATTCGCACCTTGGAACCAAAGGACACGCTGCCACCGAAGCAAGTCGTACTCCCGTCGACTCACGCAAGGACCTTTCAGTGCGGCACTTGCGTCGAGAGAACTGGCCGCTCCTTCTCTGGCTGTGCTCTTCGAATGGCGCAACACCCTTGCCGGCAGCTGGCGAGAAGATCGAAGAGTCTGAGCCCCCGAGGCAAGCCACAGACTGAAGCGCTAGGTGCCTTCCCAACGGCCCCCTCTGCAACGCCTGCAGCGGTGGCACAGGGAAGAGGTTCAACATGATAAAGGACTCACACAACATCTGCTGACTCCAGGGCGCCCGGATCGAAAGGTGCCATCGATCCGAAGAATGACATGACCCAAGCGTCTGGTGGATGCGCAACGTCAGCCTTCAATTGCCGCCCTTTCCTTGACCATGCGAAGGGACGCGCGATCGAATCGATGCAACACCTGCGCCCTCGCTGACCGGCTTTGGCGGACTCGTGTGGACGAGCTCGAGTCCCAATGCAACTCTTGCTGCCAGAGCGGTGCCAATCCCAGTGGCGATCCAGCACACAACGGACTGGTACAGGTTCCGAAAATTGTGACTGAGTGGGACCACGATGGGCCAAGTATGAGGAGTCAAAACAGTTGGTTGCCACAAGAAATTCTGAAGACGACGATGCCCGGTGTGAACTGCTGCAAAAATCAGAACCGCACCGCCTGCACGCCGAATCGCCTAGCTTCAACATGCTTCAAGAATCCCTTAGTGGGACACTGCATGTGAGATCGGTTGGCGAAACCGCTCGTCAGAAACACCTGGTCTAGTCAGTTGGTCTTGCGTGGGGTCTCATGTACGTCTCAAGGCCGCCGTACTTTCCCTTGAAGGCAGGTCTTGATTGTCTCATCGTAGTGCGTTGGCCGATTTTGGTGATTTTTGGTGTAGACAGCCTGACACTGCAGTGCTGCCAAACCCGGGTCGTGTGCGTGGCGACAGCCTCAGCAACAGCAACGGCAGCAGCAGCACAGTTCGTACTGTAGAGTAGAGAGATGAGAGTGAAGAAGCTGCACATACATCAGGTACTGTGAAAACTGGAGTCGGGTTGCAATTGCTCCTCGCAAGCTACCGATACTGAAACACTTCTCTCGGGCCAGGGCCTAAGTACAACAGCACACGCGTTAACATAGCACCGTGTGAGATTTTGGAGTGCAACTTCTGCAGGAGACGAAGAATTCGCAGCCAATGACAAACTACTTCTAACTACTACAGCAACACTCCTTCACTTACATGCCGAAACCTCGCCCTGGAATCGGTCCACTTTTGGTGAATGACATCGCGACGAGTGGTTTCAGTCCTCGTATGCTTTTCAGCTGCTCGCTGTGTTGAGATCGCTGACCGTAACATAGGCAAGGCATGCGGTAAGGTACTTGTACTTTGGTTTTCCGGAGAGTATGCACGGGGTGCGCATGCATGGATGCTCTCGACCCCGAACCCCCACAGCTAGCAATTCTGCGCAAAGAAGGCCGCGACGCTAAACAACCCTTTCGGACTGGCCTCGCAGGGCAATGCAAGGCTTGGCCTCAAACTCTGGATCCTCTGTCAGCGACACACGAATAGTGTCACCTGGCCAGGCGGCGCAGAGCACGTGAACGACAATCGCAGCTGGGAGTTCGAGAGCAAAGAACGCAGAATTGAGGACCGTTCCAAGGCCGTCCAAAAGCAGGGCTCCAATGCCAACTGCCGACTTGATACGACCTCTCAGTTTTTCTGCGTGCTGTCAGAATGCTGCGCGACAAGAAAACATGGGCACCGTCAGAACCACCACCGGCTTCGGTGACGCCCAGGTGCAAGGGGTAGTCCTGATTGACAGAGGTGGCTGCAGATGGCTGAACAGGAGCAGCGCAGCGCCGGAGCAGAACTCGAGAGAACAACAACTCTTCCGACCGGTCCCAGCCGAGCTTGTACATCTCGCGCGCCAGCTGCCGGTACGCATTCACCTGCCACGACAGGCGACGGCACCAGCAGATTGTCAAAGAAAAGAGGGCCCTTGCCATGACTTGTGGATTTGAAGACTTCATGCCTCAAGGACTCAAAAATAATCAAAACGATTACGAAGGTCGCCGCCTTTTCTGCACCGAGGCTACGGCTGAAGATAAAGTTGTGGAAATCGTGTTTGCGGCAGATCTCTCCGAACTCAATGGCCGACGCCACCATGCCTTCAGGCCTCGGTTTTGCTCCACTGACAATGTGATATCGAGGTGCTTTTTGTTTTTTGCGTATCTGCCAACACCTGAGATTAGCACGAGTCTCCATATTGAAACAGGATTCGCTCAGCCAGAGATCCATGGTTCACACCTTGGGCAGGAATAAACCGCCTGGAGTGGTGTCAACAGTCCATGCGCCATGTGCTAAGTGTCCACACCAATTCGCATTGACTTGTTCTGCTCCTTCAACTTGAGGACCTGGGCTCTTCCACTTTGAGGCGAACAGGACATTGCTATTGCTGGTGACTTCGATTCAGGGTTCTTGCGGGTGTCCCGAGTATCTATGCAGTTGCAGTCGCCCCTGAATTTGTGGTTGCCCCGCCTGCCCACGACATCCATTCTGTCAACTGCACAGCTCGGAGCCGGACCAAGGGAGTCAGTGCCTCCTCAATTGCATCCTTGGCTTCTTGCACGTCCTGCCAAAGTGAACGGGCTTCCTGCGGGTAAGTGGGCGAGAGTATCCCATCACCGCGAACATCTCCATTTTCTGACAACTGACAAACACCAATTCCGGCGAACGGTCTGCTGCAAAGGGGATCATCAGCACTCAGACAGACCTGTCGCCGAGATCCCATTATGCAACTGCAGACGGTTAAACTCCGCTTTGCCGTTGACTGCAGTTCCTGCTCGGTTTTCTGGTCGACATTGACATCTTCACTACGAGGAGTGTGCATTTATGCTCGGGGCGGACAATCAGTATGTATGTCCTCCTCTGTCAGCTCATCGATGGTGTCAAAGGACTTGCGGCCTAAATGCTGTAACGGAGCACATCATACATCTCTTGTGGTCTTGTGGTGCTATTCACGAGATTCGATGCTGCGGCTGCAGCCATCAGCAAAATTGCCAGGATTCACTCGAACCTCGTCATTTGCTATGACAACAGACCGGTGTTTGCTTCTTATGCAAAGTCGGACCTTGTCCACAAAGTCAGCACAAACCAGTGCAACCTTGGGCGTGAAGTGGATGTCAGCGACGAGAGGGGTCTTGTATCCTGGCTTCGCTGCGCTGCATAAAATCCAGAAACTGTCTTTCGAAGTGTGTACGAGTGGCCATCTTCGAGGAGACGCTTTTTGATGTGCTCGCAGGCTTTGGCTTCCTTCCTCAACAAGGCGTAGGCTCTTCGATTGCGAGCTCAGGCTCAGAGGACGAGCCCGTCGCATGCCCTGCACTGTCAATCGCACCTGGCTGTGGCCGATTGCTTCCAGTGCAGCTTGCGACAAGCATGAGGCGGCATGAGGGCCAGGCAATATCGATGCCCATGTCCGCACACTTCTTAACCTGACAATCCCAGCTCGCCGCAGCTCTGACAGGAAGACGAGCAAGCGGTGCAGCGGTCTGACCTGGGCGACGGTCCCCTCAACATCAGTTGTCAGCGTCGTCGTCCTGAGCCGATTTGCAAACTGCATGCCAATCCGGACGGCTGTACATCAGATTCGGTCACCATCTCTTAGGTGTCTGCATTGTCTGAGTTGCAATGGGGTGCTCGGAGCCGACTGGCACCTCGCCGACGTAAACCTTGCGACACAACGAAAACTTGCTTGCATTCGATGCTGCAAAGCCGGTTTGGGCTCTTGCAGTGCGAGTTTTGCGTCGTTCACATTTCTCCAACGCCTCGCAGTAGACACCTGTCGGCTTCACGTTTTCAACAGCAGATTGACATGACGGTGAGAGCAGGTTGCTGAAACAACCATGCAGCGAGGCACCACTCTGATCCAACGTAAGTTAATGTAAGTTACCTTGCGACCCGCCCGTTTGAGAAGCTTGCGCTTGCGGTTCCAAAGCTTCGTTCTGGGCGGTCCTGACTGTTCGAACGAGCGTCTTTCTTCGGGGAATGCAGCGATCGCTCCTAGATACCTAAATGAGTGCCTTAACAGCCTTAACACCGAAAGACCACTAGAGCAAACGTGGGGAATCTGTCTCGAGATCCTCAGCTTTCTTCGCTCGTGAGCCGCCGGATAGGTGGTCCCATGCAACCGGGGAAGCGCCGGGTTTGCCTTTCAGTGGGGGTTCCTCACCGAGACTTTTTAAGCTGCGCAATGCTTCGCAATCTTTCAGGCCCTCCAGAGCCTTGGACTCATAGCATCTCATAGCCCCATGAGCATGGTGGCGCATGGAGTTCGATCCTTTGGCCACTTCTTTCTTGCCACACATCCTTGGCCAGCTTAGCGAATATCGGGCTCATCGAATTTGTTGCCGGAGCGCATGGAAACAGGTTCGAGAGTGGACAGTAACACCGCGTCCTGCAATGTCTTGTAAAATGAAACTGGGGTTGTCCTTCGCATGGAATTGCTAGGTCCTTCGCATGGAATTGCTAGGTCCAGGGTACGATTCGGATTCCAAGCAGTCTTCTCGACGACTGGCGGGCCATTGGATTGAGCAGCTGGTTTTAGAGTCGGATGACCGTCTCCTCCGCCAAAAACATCGAATCAAAGGCATTCAAAGGCGTTCAGCTCCGCATCAATGCTTTGCCGACATGAAGCACGGAAGTCGAAAATGACCATGGTCTTGGGCGTCCAGGGTTTTGTTTTGATGAAGCAACAGTCAATGGCTTGTTGGTGCAGGTTTCTGGGCAACGTTTGTTTTATCCACTGGAAGCTGTCTACGCAACGGACTCGCATGTGGTCCACCTGGCGATGGCCGTGGGTGCAGTCACCAACCCTTTCCACTCATTGACATCATGTGGTTCGCGTAGTCTGCAGCCTCCATGTCAAAGCAGCTGTTGCTCAGTCAGCGGATGGGCAAAGCCTTCACAAACATACTAGGTTGCCCACCTCAGCAGGAAGCAAGTCTCTTCGGCTTTCGGCATCTTCCACAAGGGACATCGGTAGACCGTCCCGACTGCAAATTGCCTGATCGGACAATAGGACAGGCGCCACGCTGGCGGGCATTGCGCTCAGAATTGTTGCCCCACCCTCAGGAAGCATTCATCGGCGAAGTTAGGTTCCTGGCCACCCATCGAGCTCGACTCTAGAGATAGCCAGCTGCCGCCACCACACCCATCCACACCCACAACTCTCAATTGATTCAATCCACTCATGCCGTTGCCCATAACAAGGCGAAGTGCCCAGCACGAACACACCTGTCCGACATTCTGCTTGCATCGCTGTTGGAGCTTGCTTCGGCAAAGCAAGGGCAAGAACACAAGATCCACACATGATCCGGATCCCTGGTGCCAGCTGCGGCACCCCGGTGCTTCTAGGCTGCATTTATCTTCTGGTCCTCGAGCCATTCTTTTGGTTAAGCCTCCTCTGCGAAGGAGATCCTGCACACGTTTTGGGGGATGGTTCGCTCCCCAGTTTCCAATTCAAGACGACCACGAGGTGCTGCTGCACCCGAACATGTGGCACGCTGCCTTCCGGAGGAGCAAAATCGTGTGTGGTGGTGAATGCTTTGTATCAAGCAAGTGCTGCGCGAACTTCAACTCGTGTACAAGGCAGGTGACATTATCAGAGCTGATTCGTGGTCGCCTACACTAGGACATTTGTGGTTTGTGTTGCCGGCATATGCCGGCATGTTACTGTTGATTTCCAAAAACAGTCAAAGGTTATATTGGAAATACGGCATATGAGCAGTATTCGTGAGATCATTGCGACAGAAATTCTCTAAGAATGTACCACGTTGCTCGTGTCGTGTGTGATATGTGTGTTGCAGACTGATTGTATTGTGGTGGTAAGGAAATTTCAACGACAGCTCTGCCAGAGACTGGCCGGTCTACACAACGCAAGAGCTTGCTCCGTCTGGCCTGGAGGAACAGCTTTGCGCGCTGCAACTACTCGCAGACCCTGCAACGAAGCAATATGCGTGGTTGGATGAACAGGCTTCGCCGTCAACCTTGCATGTTATGTGGCGTGCCTTACGCGCAGTTCCGGGCTTTTTTCTGCCGCCTTGTCAAGCACAAACGCTCTCTCGTCACAAGAGCACCTGGGCGACTTCCAACAACTCGGACCCTTGCTCGTCAGGGCAGCAAATGCAGATCCGGCAATGGCTGCTGTGGCAGCCTGCTCAGGCAGCTGCGATTCAGTTTGGGCAATTGTCGCTCAAACTCTGACGACACCTGGCTCTGAACACCAGGTCTGGTTGACACCTCCAGTTGTTGAGACAAGAAACATTGAACCTTCCTGCCGAGATCTGCGCTTACCAGGTAGCCGACAGAACGAGGTGCATGCTCAACTCTTGGAGCCACCTCAGAACGCCAAAGCTATGCCCCTTGCAGGCCGTTGCACAATTAAGGAGGGAAGCCTAAGTTGAGCCTCAGAACTGGCGACAAAAAGAACTGTTCGCATGGCGCGAGTGTCCGGACGATACCTGTCCAAACTCGACAGCATGTTGGGTGGCCAGCGAGACGTTCTGCCCCGCCATGGGCAGCTATGAAGGCAGTGGCCTTTCGGAACCAGAAAGGATGATCATCTACGACGAATGGCTCCCCGAGGCTGGAGCAGGCACTGTAGCCATTTGAAACGGTTCCTGACCAGAGATCGAAATCAAAGGCTTAGCACCAGCGTACATGTCCTACATCCTGCTTTGCTATTTCTGATACTTGTTGCTGCACCTCCACGAAGGGATCAGCCCTGTAAACCGTGTTGCGTCACTGGGCGGAAGCCGCCAGAGAGCCGAAAAAAGATATCCACAACTGTGATCATGGTCGAAAGGCTTCATGTGTCTAACGACAGGGGCATCTCACCCGGGACCGCTCTGGAGAGGCGCCGTTTTCATGCGACTGCTCGCACTGGAAAAAGCCTCCTATTCTCCTACACCTTCCGTCCTCCGCGAAGCATGGGCCTGGCTTCTGTGCTCAGGATGTCGGCGACTGCAAACTTCAGACTGTACAATAGTCAAGCACCAATGGTCTCTCGCAGACGTCGGGCAACGCCTGTGACCTCAGCTGTGGCAAAGGACAACTCGCAAGGCCACAGCTCGCAGCGCAGGGCCACAATTGCAGGAAAGGTGCTGCAGCGGCTGCAGCAGCAGGTGCGCCACTCAGGCCAGGTGCTTTCGGCCTTAATGCGACAACGACAACATGACGTGCAGCGAGTGAGGCACTGCAATGCTGTCGAAAGCTGCTTACAACTAAAGTTGCCGGGTGATGGATGTTTCTAACAAGCACGGGCCGACATGGCACAAGCGGAGGTGCGATGCTGTCGTCTTCTGTGGAGAGGTGGAGCACTCATTCCGTGTACGTCCGAAGCTCGATCATATTCCTCGCAAACCAAGAATCACCAGCTCGGTGTCACAGTGTTGGCACTGGTGGATACTCCGGTATAGAACTTGGTCAGGATGTATGACGCTGGTAGCCGGTTGGGCTCTGGCATCTGCCATAAGCCCAGACAGAAAGCACAGCACAGAATGCAGCTATGACCAAGCGAGTAAGCCACACACCCACCGCATCGGAGCCCTCGGTGGGATCCACTGAGATACCCATCAGCTGCATGCATATCTGGTAAGGCCTGCTGATGGAAAGGAAGTCAGTGTCGATCACGTTGATCTGAATCTGAGGTTCTTGTCGCACGGCTTCCATCACGAAGTTGTGCAAGTCTAGGAGGAAGGGTTCCAAGAATCTCAAGTTTGATTGTGGCCCGTGGTCCGAATTCATAGCCTCGTACATCAGTGGTTCTGCATTGTTGGGATTGGCCTGCATAACGTAGTACTTGGAATGTTGCGTGGCTTCAGATTTTAGATCCCGCAGCAACCAGTCCTTTGCAAGAGTCAGATTGCCGCTGGCCATGGCGGATGCCCAGTTCTCAGCCAAGTCCAGCTCGCTGATTGCATGGGAGTCGTGGCGAGCGCCTTTGACAAATACCTCAACACGTACAAACTGCGACGAACGTCAGGACTGTCAGGACATGTCAAAGAAAGGAGAGCGGCAGTACTGCCTTTTGCGCAGGCACGGCGATCCGCTTGTTCAAATCCACAAGCTCACCCAGGGTTTTGTCGAAAAGGTCATGTCGGCTGATCATAATTTCTCCTGAAAGTGACGAGGGATCAGCAACATCGTGCCGACTCTTGACAACACGAGTGTCCGCACCGGTGTAGTAGTGAAAAGGTGCAACAGGCTTCGAAGCACGCAGGTCACAGCGAGAATGCTTGCGGCCCCGCCCGTGATAACAGGCAACAGCACTAGAACGTTATACCCTCGATATTCTTACAGAACACCTGTACGGAATCAAGGGGGCTTGGGCTGTGTTGCAACTATCGCGCCCAGCTCCCACTCCACCGCTGCGACGAGAGCATTCACGTCAGCTTTGTCGAAGACTTTGGATGCGTTGTTGTGCAAGTTGTTGAAAGCCAAGAGAACCTCTCAAGCTGCGGACTGTCGGGGTTGATCTGTCTGCTGGTAAGCTGGAATGCGAACGGGGCAAAGGGGTCAGCAAGAGGAATCTGAAATTGTCAGCTCAGTACCATAAAAGAGTTGCCGTCAAGCGACAACCTCTTTGGGATGCTCGTGAAGAAAGTGCCGAATGTCATGCAACGTCGACAGGACCTTGGCGAGAATGCACAGCCAGAGCAAGGCGGCTCTGCACATCTCGTCTAGTCCCGCTTTGTGGGGCACGAGGGGTGCGGCTGCACTGAGGAATTTGCTGCCTGGCCGCCGTCTCATGGGTCGTGTATCCGCGATGCTGGAATCGGACAGCTGCTAAATCCATGAGGTCACCTTCAAGGCCCCCACAAACAAATTTCAAGCACCACATCGTGCGGCGTTCCTGTGCACTTGCTGGTCAAGTTGGAAGTTGGTGCAAATTGGTTGCACAACCGAAAGGTAGTCAAAATTGCAACCACGGGCAACAACAGTGACAAACCTGGGCAAGACTGGAGAGGCAAAAGTTGGTCAGCCTTCGGAAAACAACCCCTGTTTTTTGCTTGTTTTACGAATGGACATCGGCTGTCCTATGGCCTGCTGATGGCGTAACAAGCTGACGTTAATGAGGAAAGGGTAAACACAGCGCAAATTTTTCAGTTGTTGAAACTCGCTACTTGTTCCTTCCCACATATTTCTACAGTAGGTTGTGTTCTTGGGCATGCTTCTGGTTTAACTGCAAGGCGAATCGATACTTCATTGATTAAGCTCAATCATTTTTGTTGTGCTATTGAACAAAGCGCACCCGAGGCGAACAATCTAAGTACGTGATAAAGTTACAAAGGAGGTGGATTTGTGGATCGACAATCCAATATCATATTTCCTGTACTTGAAAGCCATAACGTCGTAGAGGCATATCTGTTCATCTTGTACCACCTCCAAATTTTTGAGATTATAGAAAGGGCTAAGAAAATCCCAGCAGGTGCGTTTGCAAGCGCGTTAAACTTGCGAAGGAGTCCAAATAGAAGCATCGGTTTTGTGTACATAGCGCAGATGGCTGGAACCACAAATCCCAAGTCAGAGATTATGGGCTCGTTCATGTTAATACCGGGTCGATCGATTAGAGATTGACACTGATCAAGAAATGGCTGCCCAAGAAGGTGTCATCATCTGATGGTCAGAGCAGTTTGAACATGAATATTTGGAGGCATATGCACCAGTGGTGGTTTCGATATCACCACCCCCTTGACACGACAGACTTGAAATCTTAAAGGAGCAGTGGGGCTGCACCTCAGTTTTGGCATGTTGGTTGATCTGACTCGAGCCGCCTGTGTAAACAACATCAGCATGACTTTCCACAGGACACACACTGTTCTCTTTCATCTTCTTGACGGGAACCGCATGTGACTGTCTGCGAAATGGCCTTGCCCCGAAGCTTTTGCACAAGCCCCACATTGCTATGTAGTGGTTCATATTTGAACAAGCGACTTGCCGTACTCACCTTCCACTTGTCCATGCAGCTTCAGTTTCCGCATAGCATCGTCGCCGGCAGCAGCTTCTTACTGTTACATCCAGCTAAACAATCCCGTGACTCCACCAGAACGAGACATGCCGACCTCTTGACAAAGGCTCAACGGAGTGGGCTGGCGTGCATAAACCTTTGGATGAACTGCGTCAGCATTGGTAGTGGAAGGGGGTATTTCACTTGCGGCAAACACGTAATCGTGGTGCAAAGGAAGAACTTGCCGCGAAAGTAAACAGTTGTCAGCTTTTGCTTCTCCTTCTTCAAGAGCTCGACGACTTTCTTCGCTGTGAATTTTTTAGGAGGTCCGATGACGAGCTGCATGGGTATCTGGTATATCTGGAACGGAGACCAGGTCGAGCAAACCAGCGTCTTGAAAAGAATTTCCAATGCTTTCAAGAAATTAGACTTCGCCCCACAATCCAGACTATCCATCTTCTCCTGATCCAGTGACCTGTTCTTAGAATATACCTGTGTACAACTCGAAGACATTGCGCGACTCCCTTTGTGAACACACTTCGTCGTGCTTCTTCTTGAGGAAGTTGTCTTGTGCCTCACACCATGCACTGTCACAGAACCCTGGGATACCACTTCCAAGCTTTGTTTCGCAGACTATTTTCTTTGAACAGCTTCAAGAGTTTAGTAGCCAGCTGCGGACATCTTCGCACATTGTGGCCATGTTTGTGCCAGAAGCTACACATACGAGGCATCCTGACAACAGCCAAAAAAACTTACCAAAACAGCGGCTGTTTCGGTCACAAGGTTGGCCTACACAATGTGCATGAAGTGACGGGAAGTGTGTGGGCTTCCTGCCGTATCAGTCTGGGAGGAAGCATGGAAATGCACCCGCCAGCAAGAACTAATATGCCGTTTCTTCAGACCCTTGAAAGATGGGCACTAAAAACAAACAAATCTTCCAAACAAGCCAGGCATCATTTACGGCAGATCGTAGGAAGGCGTGCAATGCAATGTTTAATATTACAGCAGTCTGGGTTCTTTGCAGACACGATCCTATTTCATGGTGAATATAGCTCCGCTTCTCTACGGACTGATATCAATGTTCCGCAGATTTCGAAGATAAGTCCCTAAAGTACATACTAAATTCCGCAGCCTTTACGACTACAACTGCTTAACTGGTGGTAGAAATCCGTGTGAAAAAGAGCTAAGTGCTTACACTGAAACAGCATTTTCCGCAGCCCGATCACCCCATCCAACAAACACAAGGAACAGGAAGGGGAGCAAGAACGAGACGTGGACAGTGTCGAGACAATCCGGAAAGGTTCGTGACCGCGGAGTCCGGCTGGGATGTCGGTCGCTCGGCCAAAAACTTAGTCAAATAAACCTGCTCAAGGAAATGCGTCATGCTAGAGTTGGGGAAACAACCGGGTGCTAGAGAATCACCTTTTGGTACCTTTGCTTTCGGGCGACTCCGAGAAAAAAGGGCACTCGGAAAATTACCACAGGCATTTTGACGAGGAACATGTTGTAGAGGAGCACATGGATTCGTGCACAAGATGATGTGATCGATGTGTCCGCTCGTATAAGCCAGCTAAGAACCTCTAATCGCAACTTCAAATCGACGACAATTTGCCTGGTTTTCCAAAGTTGCAAATCTTCAGGTGCAAGTACCGGACTCCTTCCAGAAGTTGGGCCTTGATCGGCAGGAAATGGTTGATGTTCCACGGAATCATTCCTGATCACAAGCCGACACTGAGCCGTGCAATCCAGGTCCAGGTCTGATAAGTGTTGCTTTGCCTGGCCGTGTCTGCACTGTGTGTTCGCCGTTGTCAACACGAAACAGTGTTTGCTTACAGCTTCATTCATGTGGAGGCTATAATCACAAAATACATTGGAGCAGCGAAACACGTAAGCTGCGGGAAAACAGAGGGTCAATGGCACATGCTGAACTATCGGCACAGTATTCGGGCGATGACGAGTCTCTGCGATCAAACTCGGCCTGGCTGAAGACATGTTGCCCTCTTGCAAGCAACGCCTGTGAGCTAGGAGAGTTAAGGTACTCCTCATAGCGGTAGTCACTCTGGCATAGCCTGGCGCACAGGGGCATCTATCGACAGGGGCATCTATCGAGCCAAGTCAAACCTTCCGCCTGAGAATCTATAAGGGAAGAACAACTATTGATCTCATCGTTTCTAAGATATTGTGAGGAGCGGGTGGGCATGCAGGCCGCCAACATAGTTGCCGCTGTTGTGCGATCCCGGCAGAGTGATCTCTAGCAGCGACTTACCCTTCAGATGATCGAAGCTGTCACCCATCCATGTGGGAGCCACAACTGCTCCAGCTGTTTTTGTGAATGGAGAAAGGAGCAGGGCTACCCGCATCATCCGCCCAACGGCCGATACTCCATCCGCTCATCCGAAACTCTTCGCCGGATTGCCTGACAGATCCTAGCAGTCCTAGCAAGTGCCAGTGCCAGTGGTGGGACCATGTGCATATGTCGTGGCGGGCTGCTTAACCTATCCTGTGAGGATCAGCGGCTGTGGGCATGCACTGTCAGCAGTTCATCTCTGATCAGCCGCGTCCCAACATCATCTGACGATCTGAGAGCGCGGCGCGCTGCCTCCCGAAGCACGCACAGCTGCATCGTACTGCCGTACAAGATTGCTTGTACCTGCATTTGGAAACATGATGAGAGGTCATTGCAAATAGTCCCGGCAACCAGCTGCTGCGCAACAAAAAAAGCAAATGGAAGAACAGTTGCAAAGACAAACACAGACAGACACACACACACACACAAACAAACAAACAAACAAACCGACCCACACACACACACACGCACGCGCGCAATCAGATGAAGGACCCCGTCCGACTTCGAGGCCCTTGCGCCCGTTCTGAGCGCGCTCCAAGGAAGCGATGTGGTCTGAGAGGTGCTGTCGTTCCACCCAGAAGGCCTTGGCAAGTCGGATGACTTCGTGATGTCGTTGGGGCTCGTTTCAGCGGTGGGGCCCGCAATGTTTCCTGTACATTGCAACCGGTGTAGTCAGTTCAGGACGGCAACAAACGAGCATGCTGCAGCTAAAGCTATTGCCATAGTTTGCATCATAGAATTATCTGGCCAATCTGTCAGTGGAAATCTGAAGAAGAATGGCCGATTGATCATCTGTTCTCTGGATCTGTCTTGCAGAAGGAAAAAGGCGGAAAATGCAGAGAGGAGTTTGTGCCTCCTCGCGCTCCGCCAGAAGCTGCTGGAGTCTCAAGGCAAGTGCAGCTGCATCCCCCTGCTTGCGAGGCACCATACTGTGGATGCGCATGCAAACCCCAGCCCCTCTTGGCCTTCACACTGCCAGATTGGCTTGTGATAAGGAGTTGCCCCCGGACCTCTTTTGCACTCGACACTTTCACAATTGCAGTGTAGATTCCATCTGCGGGACTGGCCAACCGGCCGATCTCGTCACGCATCGCCTGGTCCTCCTCTCCGTCCAGCAGGGACACCTCCGAAGAGTCACACTCGAGGCAGTGCGGACTTCGATTTTACGCCTGGCCTCTTGCAGAGCGCCCGCAAAGGGGCCCTTGCCAAGGGCAACGCTGGGATGCTGAGAATCGCTGAGGCTCAGGCAAGGCCTCGCCATCCGAACCCAACACCTGTGCACGTGAAACACGATGAGGACATCCCCGCCCCAACAGCCCAACCTGCTGGCACAACGCGTCGTTGGTGCGACGAAGCCGCTCGACTTCTGCACCTTGGTTCACAACTGAACCGCAAAAGATCAGTGATCCTGGGCGAAGCTGCAGTCAGAGATACTCAGCGTCTGCTGGGCAGCGTCGAGTTGTGCACACTGGTCCTGGCATAAGGCGCAATCGGGTATGGTCTGGCTAATCTCTGCGACTTCTGCATTCAAGCTCCTGCGAAAAGCCAAGAAAGCCACGTAAAGTCCAACCCAACCCAACACCCGGCATACGGTATATGTATGATGAATGTGCCTCTGGGGGCGCCGCTTCCAAATGCTGGTCCGGAGGCCGAGAAGAACTCTCAACCGAGCTGTGAGAGCCAAATCTAGCTACTGCTGCAATTGGCTACAATGTTAAATTTCCAACAACCGAGCTCTGGCGTGCACTTACCATCCTTCATTCCACCACCGTCCTCGAGCTCTGACTGCTGCGCAATACGAGCCTCAGCTCTTTCAACCTGCAGAACAGCCAGCAGCTGTGTTCTGATTGAACCTCTCTGGTTTTCACACTTCCACTCATGGGAAAAACTGCGTGGCCTCAGATGCTAGGCGAGCTGCCCTCTCCAGCAAATGCCTGAATATTCTGACTGTTTGTCGGGGTAGTCAAATCCGCAACCGGGCCTCCGATCTTCGGCGGCCAGCTTCTCTTCAGCTGTGAGATCTTCTACCTGCAACAGCACCCCCTCAGAATACCCCCGGAACTCGGAAACTCATCAGGGTCCGGGCTTTGCGCAGAAGCTGCTCACTTTGTGTGACAATGACCTCTCGGATGTTCAATTGCCTCCATGCATTCTACACCATGCTCTGTGCCTCCCGCATGAGATCTTCCTCACTTCGAAGATCAACAGTCCCCTGCGAACTAGGTGCTTCACGCAGTGCAAATCGGAAAAAAAGGCCCTCACCTTGCGCAGAGCCGCGATATCGGCCTGAACTTGATCCTCCGCGGCGGTATCTCGAGACACTCAAAAAGTGCGCAGAGGGAATGAGTCCCTGGCGATTCGCTTCTCCAGCTGGGCATTCACCGACTCCAGGTCCTGACCACGTCAAGAGCGTGGCGTCTGATCGTCTCATTTCGCGAGCTTCTTGCCAATTGCAAATTTCATGCCGACGTCGGGCCTTCAGAGACTCGTGTCTGGTCGTGTCCAAATGCCGAATGCGATGTGCTGCGCACACACTTGTCCGGCCACATGCATAGATAGATGGATACATACATACATACATACATACGTATGTACGTACATACATACATACATACATACATACATATATATATCAATACATTACATTACATTACATTACATTACATTGCATTGCATTGCATTGCATTGCATTGCATTGCATTGCATTACATTACATTACATCACATTACATCACATCACATTACATCACATTACATCACATTACATCACATTACATCACATTACATTACATTACATTACACTACATTACATTACATTACATTACATTACATCACATTACATTACATAATTACATATATTATCTGTTTTCTGGTTTCTAGGCAGTGACTCCGACTCCGGAGCAGCCGTGGGCGCGCAATAGTCAATGGCCGTGAAACGAAAATTGGGAGCCCGCATATCCAAAAGTGCGTGCGGGCGGGCGGGCGTGTGTGTGTGGGTGGGTGGGCGGGTGGGAATGTGGCATGTGGAAATGCGGGTGAGAGTGAGTGAGTGAGTGAGTGAGTGAGTGAGTGAGTGAGTGAGTGAGTGAGTGAGTGAGTGAGTGAGTGGGTGATAATGGTTGAGCGAGTGAATATGCATGTGAGTGGGCGAGTGAGCGAGCTGGTGAGTGAGTGAAAGAGCATGTGAGTGAGTGAGTGAGTGAGTGAGTGAGTGAGTGAGTGAGTGAGTGAGTGAGTGAGTGAGTGAGTGAGTGAGTGAGTGAGTGAGTGAGTGAGTGGAGGGAGTGAGGGAGTGAGGGAGTGAGCGAGCGAGTGAGTGAGTGCCTGTTTCCCTAGTACGTGGTGCAAACTGTAAGGGGATGCCTCACACCTGAAGAGTGGGCATCTAACAAGGAGGCTCTTCACAGTGTGTTGATATGGTTCCGAGAAGCTGGAACCACGTACCTGCAAATCAACACGGCAGCTTTGGGGCGTCAAGATTAAAAAACGGATAGCCCCCTGTGGTGTCCAGATTAGTTTTTGCAGCAGCTGTCGCGTGTGTGGCACAGCAAGCAACAACCCCGCCTCAGCCCCCTTCTCTGCTTTCCTCTTGCTCTAGCCGAAATCCCACAAGCATGGAACGTAGGGTCCCGGAGGCCCTGTTAACAGCAGCTTTCCGTCATGGCGGCATGGTGGCCCTGCAGGATAGCTGGCCAGGAGCCAGATATCGGGGTGATTCTTCGGGCTGATGGGCTGACACTCTCCCAGGCACCTATTCTATACCGGCCATCCGGAACTAATGCGGGTAGCGCCATGTGCGGATGGCGCCCTGTGCATCTGACAACAATCATGTGCAGCAACGGTGCGTCTAGTGCAAGTGCAGGTGCGCAGCATTGCGTCCACTATTCTGTCCTTATTTTATTGCTTCCTTCTCCAGGAATGCAAGTGCATGTGAGTCTGACATGAGTGTAGGTGCATTAACTTCGTCTAATGCATCGCTCCTTCGGCAGCCCAATACTTCGGCATTGCATCTTCGGCTTTTCCTCCCCAAACAGACCAACAGCGGCAGTAGCACAGCAACAGCGTTCCCGCAGCCTTCTTTAATTGGGTTTAAATGTATGTGAGCCTGATATGAGTGCAGGTGCAGTAACTTTCGTCTACTGCGTTGTTCCTCCGAGAGCTTGAAGCCTGCCCCACCTTTTGTGGGGCTGTGTGCGCGCTTCCTTGGTACATGGGCAAAGAGGGTCATTCCTACAGTTTGCAGGGGCGTGCCCCACACCCGAAAAATGGGCATCCAACAAGGAAGGAGGCTCTTGAGAGTGTGTTGATATGGTTCCGGGACGCCGGGGCCACGTACCTGCAAATCAACACGGCAGCCCTGAGGTGCCAAGATTAGAAAAAGGAGACAGCAAACAACAACCCCGCCTCACCCTCTTCTCTGCTTTCCTCTTGCTCTAGCCGAAATCCCACAAGTGTGAGCTGAGGATTCTTCACTGGTGCCTCAGCCAACGAAGACCGCAAGTGTAAGGACGTGTAAACGTACCTGCAAAGTTACAGTTGGATCCCGTTGTGCATAGCTGGCGGACTCGACAGAACCGTGCGCGCATGTTCAGACTGTCTTGCAAGTGCTTCTGTGAATGCGCCTCTTGATTGAAGTGATGTCCAGACTGGCATTATTTAGAATCAATTTAGAATGACAGATTCTCCCTGAAGCTGAACGACCCATCTGACTGTACACAATTGACTTGGGACCTGGGACAGATTGTGCCAAGTGTGTGTCTGTGTCTGTGTCTGTGTCTGTGTCTGTACACACCTGAACAGTGTGCCAGCGAAAACGCAGGGGAGTTCAGAGGGCGGAGGCGGTGTGGGGGGGCTCCACCTAATTGATCAAGCTCTCCCCCGCATGCCGGACATGTGTCCGCCCTGAACTCCGGCGTGAGCAGCTGGGGGATACCCACTCTGCGTCTTACCCTCGCTTCTTCCCAACAGGGTCTCGAGTGGTGCTGGCAGAAGACGAATGTCCGCTGCGACCGGGGTCACTCTCAAGCGCCTGGATACACAACCTTGCTCATCTTCGTCTGCGGCGAAGGTTGCGATGTCAGGGTTGCCGCACTGCTTTGCCGTGCTGTCCCTTGACAGCTCTGGGGCTTTGGCTATGTACTCCTACTCTGGCGGCTCGATCCAACATCCTACGTACACGCATGCGCGCCCATATACATTCATACATTCATACTTTCGTACATTCATACATTCATACATTCCTACAATCATACATACATTCCTTTCTTCTTTCATTCATTCATGAATTCATTCATTCGGTCAGTCCGCCAGTCCGTCAGTCAGTCAGTCTGTCAGTCAGTCAGTCAGTGAGTCATTCCGTCCGTCAGTCTGTCCGTTCGCTGTTCGTGCATTCATCCGTCCATTCGTCCGTCCCTCCGTCAATCCGTCCGTTCGTCATTCCATTCCATTGCATTGCATTCCATTCCATTCCTTTCGGGTATAATCCAGTCCTGATTATTTCCTAACCTTCCGGTCCATTCCCTTCCCTTCCATTCGAGTTAGTCCAGTCATGTCCAGTCCATCCCAGTCAGTCAGAGAGTCATTCAGTCGTACATACAAACACACATCCATATATCCATCCATCCATTCATACATAACTATATGTACACTCATGCAGACATCAACCTCCACATGTGTGCAGGTCGCATGCAACCGGCATTTCCGGCCTGGACCCTTTGAGATGCTGCTTCTTGCCTCAAAACAAACGGCGTTTGCTCGCTCTAACACGGGTACGCAGCAGCGTGCCAGGGAAAAGGCGCATCCCGCAAAACCTGCTCGGGCAAAGCCAGCAACGACAGACACACGCTGACGAAATCTTACGTCAACATGCCTCCAGCTCGCGCTTGGCCATGGTCAAATCGGTTCCGCTTGAAAGAGCCTCGATGCGATGGCACGGGCACCCGAAACTGTACTGCAGAAGTATAGAGCCAGGCTGCATCTGCAAGGGCAAGTCGTAACTGTCGTGCCTCCTTGTCCACAGACCTCAAGGGCAATTATCAGAATGACCAGTCGCAGGATGTCGCAGAAACCAGGCCGGAATTATGAGATGCCGACGCCAAGGATTCTCGGTACCTCCCCGCTGCTGTGATTCATAAGACTGGAGCTTTGCAAGTTGCCTGAGGAATGCTTCTTTCGCGGCCAAAGCAGCCTTTTCTTGGCCAAGCTATCGCTTTCGTTGACTCCCGTCAAGCTTGCACAGGAAGCTCCCTGGACATTATTAACCCTTGCTCGATGAGGCAGGCACGACCGTGCTTCCCTCTCGCGGATCTGCACGTCCTGCGGATGCTTAAGCACCCCGTTTAACAGAGGATTTCGCAAGCCCATCGTAGCAAATTTGCAAAACATCGGGTTAGGGCGGTCGGTCTCGCGTCGTGTTTCAGCTGATCAACAAATGTAATGTCGTGCATGTCCCTCGTACCTCCACTGAAACCATGTGAAGGAGACCTGGGGAAGCACGGGCAACCCGACATCCAGGCTGATTGCTGAGGCAGGTGCGCTTCTCTGCAGTTCCAGCGGCTGCCTAGACAGGCAGACCAAAGACTTCTGCCAGACATGAACTGAAAGCTCATGTCTCTGACTTGTTCGCCCTCCTCTGCAGCTGCCACTGATTGCTGCTGAAGCTGCAGTCGCGCTTCCTCCAGCCCAACTCCACTAAGTTTCCATGTTGCAGGACAAGCATGGTCCACCTGCAGGGACAACAAGCAAATATTCTGCGAGCGAAACAGGCCTCGTCTTGCAGCTCCGCAGCTGCGGCCTGGAGTGTACTCTTCCCTGCTCTGATGACTTTTATCCGACCGGATCTGACTTTCCCTCTTTTGGTGGCCAAGGGTCATTGGCTGCATCGGCCGCAGCAGCGGCGGCTCTGCGCACCGCCTCCAGCTCCTCCTCCTGCTGGCAGATGCCTCGAAGCGACAGGCAGATCGATCCCAGGTAGCTGAGATCTCCTGGGGCCACGGCCGGATTCTATTTCAAGCTTCTGGTGTTTCAGAGTTTCAAGTCGCGCCTGCTTTGCGAGTGGTCCACAAAAACAGAGCCAACTTGTCCAACTACCAGCACTTGGCCTGGAGTTCACGGTGCTTGGTTTCAGCATCCTATGCAGACGGGACGCT